TATCGCCCTAACTTTAAACTTACTATAACAGTCTATTACCCGTTGCTGGGATATTTCGGCTTCGGAGATCCCACGGAAGCTGAGGAGCATCGGAGACGTAATCCGAACTGGGATTTGAAAAACAAAGTCGGAAAAAGCAAAAATCTCCGATCAACCGAGATGGCTGGGCGTTTGAACCTTCTCAAAGCATGGAAGAAAAATCCCAACTGATCTCAGGGTGCTGTTGGTGAACCGTCATCAACTAGGGTAGAGCCGACGCCGGCGATCGTGAACGAGCCAACTGCTGCCGACGTCCCGCCACTTGAAGTGGAACCACTGCAGCAGATAATGACACCAGTCGGTGAATCCGCGGTTGAGGCGGAGATTTCTCAAGGAGCACAAGAGGTGCCCGACGAGCCAGTGGTTCATCGTCGCAAAAGGTCCAGTGTATCTCATATGGCGGAGAGGATGAAGAAGAGGCAAGACACCGGTGCTAGCAAAGATAAGGAAGAGGAACCCGAAATTGTTTTGAGGGATTCCTTCCTCAAGATAAATGAGAAGAAGGCGGCGGAGTTGACGTTGCCAGAAGGTGTATTTGACCCCTGGTTTCCGATGTTTCAAACGGTCGTGGAGCCAAAAATTACGAACAATCAGCGGTTCCCCGATGAAGCAGTTAAAGCGGCAAGGGTTCCATTGATGTCGTGGGACCCGAAGACTCATGCGGGGATCGCATCATTGCCAGATGACCAGAAGTTCAGCTATGCCCGTGGCTGTTTGGGCCGGGCTCTGGTCAGTTTTATAGCAGCCGAAGACAGTTACCGGAACAGAGCTCACGAACTTGATGAAAAACAACATGAGCTGAGTTTAAAAGAAGGCGCTATAGCTTCTCTGGAGGATGAGAAGTCTCGCCATGAGGCAGCCTTGTCAAGGAAGGATGCGGAACTGCAGGCGGCATTGACCGAGGTGAACACCCTTAAAACCGAGAAGGAAAACTTACTGTTGGCCCATGACCTTACGTCGGTTGAGTTGGCCAAAGTTACGGAGGTGGCTAAAGAGAGGGACGAGCAGCTCACGAGATTAAGGGCTGAGCTTCAGGCCGTCCGTAAGGATCGGTCCGACAAGGATGCTGAGCTGATTCGAAGCCGTGAAGCTCATGAAGTGGCGATGAACAAGCTCCGACAAGAAATGACCGCCGCCGCCGAACTCAAATTCCAAGAGGGTATTGAAGTCGGCAAGAAATCAGTAGCTGAGCCCAACGATGCAATTGACGCCGGTGCGGCAACAGAATGGGAGCTAGAACTAAACGCCGCTTTGGCTTTACGGTGGGTGATAGACAGGGTGGATAGCGGCGTATATACCATGGATGAACTGCGCATTTATTTGCTTCATAAGATGGAGAAATACGGCTTCAACCCGGAGATGAAGAATGCCCATATCCCGGCCGACCAGGACGAGAGGGACTTTGCTGACCGACTTCTAAAGCAGAAGGAGAGTCGGATGTTGGAGCTGGACATGGTGCCCTTGTCGGGAGAACGGAAAGCGAAAATCAGGCGATCGTTTGTTGACATGGTCCTTGAGGTGGAGAAGGCAAAGAAGCCTGAAATGGCCAACATATGCGTGGAGACAATTGCTAAGGCTTTTGTCACTGAAACATTTGAGGGCTTATCGGATGAAGAGCTTTTGAGCGCGATCGTTGGCTATGCTGCGCGCAAGGTGGCAGAGGATGATGCCAAGGCTAAGGGATGGGTGATCGACCTAGCCCCGTCTGACGATGATCGTGTCTTGCATGAAGATGGCGACGTCGTCATAATCAAAGAGAGCGACGTCGTCCGTGCACTGGAAGAGAAGGAAGAGGATGTCGTTCAGCGCTTGAGCCAAAGACTGATTGAACACTTGGATGGCGTTGAGAGGGGCAAGGCTGAGATGGAAAATCCTCAACTCTTTGATGCAGGAAAAGCGTCGTCATCGGGGACCAAAGAAAATTGATGTGTTTACATTATCTTGTCGTTTATTATTATTATATTTTTTTTAAGAATGTACTGTTATTTGATTTTGGAATGGAATGTGAATGTTTGATGAATGGGATATTTGTTTTACGCGTGTTTTCATGATTTATCATGTCGGAAAAAGATAGGTAAATATTTGTCAAGTTTAAAATTTCCGACATAATATTGGCGTAATAATTTATACGAATTACTGACGTCGGCGTAATCTTACAGCGCTTCCGACATCACACTTGCCATTATCGGAAACAATTTATAGCTTATCCGACATCTGCAAACTTCTTAATCGAACAAATCAGAAAAGATTTGCTATTTACTGGAAATACTTATTGTAAGCTCACCAAATCATCGTTGGGATTCGGTATTGTAGAGCATAAGCCTCCCCAAACCATCTTCAGGGCTTGGAAGTATCCGGCTTTGCTGCGTTCGGCTAGGTCATACCATCTTCAGGGTATGAAACACGTTTAGCCTTAGCAACGGGGACCGATTTATTGTGGTCCGAGTGATCGAACAAATTATTGGGGTTCGTCACACAAATTTTATTGATAACAAAACATGGTTGTTGTACAGCAGTAGGACAAAAACTTTTTACACGTCGGGGACAGGACCTTCGGCATCAGATTTACTGGTAGTATTTCTTCAGATATGTCGTGTGCCAGGGATATTGAAGGGGAATACCGTCCAACGTTTCAAGTCGGTAAGTACAATGGGAAATCAGGCGTTTCACTTTAAAGGGTCCTTCCCACTTTGGTTGTAAAGGGCCGACATGAGCACCAGTGACTCTTTTCAGGACGAGGTCTCCTCTAACAAACGAACGTGGCTTGAGCCTCGAATTTATATATTTTTCGCTACGTCGTTTATAAGCAGCATTGCGAACTTCGGCGTCAGCACGTAATTCATCGAGCAGATCAAGATTGGCCTTTAAGTTTGCTGGGTTGGTTTCTTCAGAAAAGTGAGTGACCCGATATGTCGGAGAGGCAAGTTCAACCGGTATCACAGCTTCAGTTCCATAAGCTAATGAGAATGGAGTTTCTCCAGTTGAATTTCTCGTCGTCGTTCGATAAGACCAGAGGACATAAGGCAATTCATCGGGCCATGACCCTTTTGCAGCTTCAAGCCGAGTTTTCAGGCCATTCTTGATAATCTTGTTTACGGCCTCTATTTGTCCATTGGCTTGTGGGTGATAAGGTGACGAGAAGAAATGCTTAATACCGTAATCTTCACAAAAACTTTCAAATTGCTTGCTTTCGAACTGACGACCGTTGTCGGTTATAATGGAGTTGGGGACGCCAAACCGACAAACGATTGATTTCCAAACAAAATCTACCATTTTTTGCTCGGTGATGGTAGTAAGGGGCTCAGCTTCAACCCACTTGGTAAAGTAATCTGCAGCTAATATAGCAAACCGAACTCCTCCTTTTGCTGTCGGAAGCGGGCCGATTAAGTCAATTCCCCATTTTGCGAACGGCCATGGACTATATATTGATGTGAGGAGTTCAGGATGTTGATTGACGTTGGGAGCAAATATCTGGCATTTGTGACACCGACGCACCCAATCCGCAGCATCTTTCCGAAGGGTAGGCCAATAGTAGCCTTGTCGGAGAATTTTATGAGACAAAGTTTGAGCTCCTTGGTGGGTGCCGTAGACTCCTTCATGTACTTCTTGCAGAATTCGTTGAGCATCGTTCTCCGACAAGCATTTGAGCAATGGGGTAGAATACCCGCGTTTATATAATGTCCCTTCATCGATAGTGTAATGAGCAGCACGAACGCGGAGAGCACGAGCTTCTTTCAAGTCTTCAGATAAGGCCCCGGTTCGAAGATAGACGATGATCGGGTCCATCCATGTAGAATTTGGAGTTACTGAGGCGGCATCGACCATAACGACGTCGGTAGAGACTGTGGATGAGGTCGCCTGTTGGGTGATTTGTACGAATTCAACATTATCCAAGTCGGTTGATGAGGCCAGTCGCGAAAGAGCGTCTGCCTGGACGTTGGATGACCGAGGTATATGTTCCAGCGTCATTTTAAATCGTGCCAGCTTCTTTGTAACAAGATCAAAATAGGGCAACAGCCGTGGTTCCTTGACTTCGTAAGTGCCGTTGACATGACTGACTAGCAACTGGGAGTCGGAAAATATCCGAAGAGAGGAAACGTTCATGGACTCGGCAAAGTGTAATCCTGATAAAAGGGCCTCGTACTCGGCTTCGTTATTAGTGGCTGGAAAAGTGAATGCCACAGAGTAACAAAATACTTGCTGATCGGGACTAACCAAGACAATTCCCCCCCCAGCTCGCATAGCGGTGGACGATCCGTCAATGTAGAGAGTCCACGTCGGATCTTCAATGGATGAATCGACAGTGGGAGTAAATTCAGCAATGAAATCGGACAGTACTTGGGCCTTGATAGCGGTTCGTGGCCGATACTGTATATCAAACTGTCCCAACTCAATTGCCCACTTAATCATTCTTCCCGACGTGTCAGGTCGGTGAAGGATTTGCCAGAGAGGATATGTCGTGAACACAACAATTGGGTGCTCCAAGAAATATGGGCGCAACTTTCGTGCAGCAATGATCAGAGCATAGGCCAGCTTCTCCATATGCGGATACCGCAACTCAGCGTCATGCAAGGCCTTGCTAACATAATACACTGAAAACTGCTGGAGTCCGTCTTGACGTATAAGGACAGCACTAACAGCAACGCTACTTACACCAAGATACAAATAGAGGGGCTCATTGGGAAGTGGCTTTTGCAACGTTGGTAACTGCAAGAGAACTTGTTTAATGTTGTCAAAAGCATTTTGGCATTCCACGGTCCATTCGAACGGCTTTTTCTTTTTGATGGCATCAAAGAATGGTTTATAATGATCTGTAGATTTTGAAATGAACCGATTAAGGGCTGCCAGCCGACCAGTTAAG